GGAAGCGCAAGGGATGGCAACTCCGTGGTGCCACAAAGGTAGCTCCTAAAAGTGTCACAGGCAGAACTTCCATTAGCAGGACAGATATGCACAGTCGAACCTCGTCATGACGGACCCGGATATAGCGGACTCCCGTTTGAAACGGACTGATGTCACGACCCCGGGGCGCTATACCTCCCATGTTACTCTGCTCGGATATAACGGACAACCGGCTATTCGCGCGATCATAAGATACGCTCGTATAAGTCAGAGCGATGCCATTCGATACTTATTTTCCCAGGATAGATATGTGGTACATTTTCGAGGGAGAGTCCTCTATCGAGAGGCATCTTCAACTAGCCTTCCCTGGGAACCAGGATACACCATGCTCCGGATCGACAACTTGTCGATAACAATGACCGTCAGACTTCTCGCAGCCCGCCAAGAGCTCGATGAAGTCTCAGATTCCGAGCCTCATTCCCGATTCGGCTCTAGGAATGGGCACAGGCTTCCAGAGTGGCGTCGTATTGTTCCATAGACCTCGTGGGAGATCGACTGTCATTCGATATCTCGATCATCCACCGTCGGTGATCGAAGGCATCAATTCCGGGGTGGGTGACTTTCGATGTGTTCCTCTGTACAATGAATCTCCGCGAAATCGCTCAACAGCAAATAAAGAATCAGCTTATCGGTGCTCTCCACGCAAAGCACTGAAGCTACGGATTCGGCAGATCTTTGTGTTGGTCCGAGGAGAATCCTTCGGACTACGACGGAAGTCGTCGGGAAACATCCGGGCACCGAGAATCTTCAGTCCTCTCTTCGACTCATCGGCTACTGGGCAACACGCAGAATAATCGCAGCTCCTTTTGCGGAAAAAGTCCAGATTCTTTTGATTGCAAGCTCCTTCTAGAATTGAATGCGACAATGGCGGGGTAGCCGGGAAGGACACCGTCCATATTTCCTCCGCCCCCATACCTCGATCTCTCTATGGAGCTCAGAGCGAGCACCTTTTGATCCCTCCGGCGTCGAGTATGGAATCTGGCTCGCGGAACTTATTTCTCTAACAATGTCAGGGACAGCCGCCAGGCGATTTTCGGTGTATCGACAATAATTTATCGCCGGAAGCTGGAATCCGCACGAAATCGAATTCAAACTTTGGCTGTGCGCGGGCCCAGCGGTGTAAGATTTCACTATTTTCGAGATGAGAAGCGGACGAGTCGACGACGATGTGTTTTGGTGCCCCGCAGTCGAATCGTCCAGCCTGGGTTGGTTCGATCGGAAATCCTGTGGTTTTTCAGTCTCCACGCTCGTTACATATTCCAATGGGAAATGAAGGTGAGTACTCCGCACTTCTCGTAGTTCTCGGACTTAGCTCTTATGGGGAGCTCTTCGCCGCAATGGAGCCCAAACGGAGGAAAAAATTGGAGAAGTTCCCGGCAGAGAGCGGCGTGATAATTCTATGTCTGGATTTTTCCAGATGATAAGAAGTTCACGGTGTGGCGTTTCACCGATAAACCTTTGAGACTATCTTGGGTTGATCATCTCGAGGAGCTCTACACGGGTTCGCCCGATGGTGTCCTGGATTTTTGTGGCCAGTTGGGGCCTCCCTCGAAGCTCAAGAGCGAAACCTCGTTGCACAGGGACTTCTGTGTGTTCCGGTATGATGCGGTCCCCATGTGGGAGGACGCTCATATTAGTAACATGAAGCTTAGGTTGACATTGCAAGGCGACGCTGAAATCGACGCTGTTTGGTGGCGAAGTCTAATGCTGCTCTTATCAGCGAAAAGCGATCTAGCGATGGTATCCGGACTGTGCCTCCAAATTCGCAAAAAATTTACAGTATCCTTCTGGTTGTACGGAGAACATGTAATGAAGGCCGCAGAGAAGCCCGAGAAGCAAATAATCCTCGATATTGCGCAGTGTTGGAAAATGGCGCTCGGCATAAGTGACGGAGCGATAGAAGTCTCGAGAAGAAGTCCTCGAGGATACAGGAAGGCATTCACCGCTCTAGTATGGCGCAGCGTCTAGTTAAGCTGATCAGCCAAAGTTTTTCGATATACAGCTATAAATTAGCGAATGGAAGAGTTCTAGGTGGTCGAGTCATAATTCATTTAAGTTTTGGGAAATAGGACCGCTGGGCCGCGAGCCATCAGATCCCTGAATACAGACGTCGAGGAGGTTTCCGCCTTGTACTCGATCTCTTTGACACTCGTACGCTCGGCAGAGGTTCCCATGGGCGCCCCCTCTTTGGATTTTAGGATTTCCGGTTTTTCACCCGCCGTTAACCCACAACCTCATCCCCCTGATCGCTATGAGCTTCTTCGAAGACGTGAAGAACCATCTCGTTGTTCTGCCCCGGCTCGACGAGACGTAAGTGCATTCAATATCGACTGAATTATGCCATCACAACGGTGAGAACTCTCTATTCCAAATCCATGGATATAAAAAGTTTCGAAGCTCGGTGAGGGCGGAGACTCTCGTATCCTTCCGCAAGGACGAGCGGACTCCTTCCAGAGAGGAAGTCGGACAACTTCCTCGGATCCAAATCCAGATGAACACTCCTAGGACATGGGTGTCTCCAAGCCACAAACGAATAGTGTCAGCGAGAGCGGAGGCCCGCATCGGAACCGAGAGCACCGACTACCAGATCGCGCGAGATATAAGCTAATATGTATCCAGGATGCGGGAATGTATGTTAATTTCTTTCCCCCATTTGTATACAGCTCGTGTGATGACTTATTGCATGTTGTGTCGCCTTCATTCGGAGAAGGTGCGAATTCCTATCTACCTGTTGGGGCCACAGGGACTGTTCGTGAGCACTCGAGCACCTCAGACACGAGGTGAAGTCCGTCCTCCCGAAATGGTGTATCCGAGTCACAAAGCCCAGGGCGAAATGGAGTTTTTGACGGCGTCTCATGAAAAGGTAACGATGGCTTGAGTAAGGAAACACTCGGCATCTGACAACTGAGACTAGGTTTTCGGCCTTCCCTCGGTTCCGCGAGGAACGGACAAGAAATATCTTTGTCACACGCTCAGCTAAGTCTGTCAAAGACATGGCTCGATACAGACTGAGGTTGTATCCCCGGTTGACCAAATCAGCCGCGCTCGAGTCCAAGGGGAGCTGGACTCCATCAGGGACAAAAATTCGTCTCGAACGATCGAGAACTAGAATTAAGAGTACGGAGAGAAAATTTCGCAATCAATCTGAGTGAGCAAAATATCCAGGCGTTCCCGTCATCCGGGGCAAGAACCGCTCGAGTAATGCGACCAGGCTCTTTGAATGGAGTTTCTGATGGATTCCCGCATTTTTTGCTCGGCAGCTTTCCCTTTGACATGGATGACAGCATTTTCCGTCAACTCGTGGCTGTTCTCTCGAGCTCCAAGCAATCGTCAGACGAATCGTGAGACGCAGAGGGACACAATAAAGCGTCGAGATCGGGGGGCATCGATCACTTCCCGACCATCGCTAAGGAATCTCTACGCGAAGCCGGTTCATCTGGGAAAGTTTCAAATTATCTCCCACATCGAAGAAACAAGCTTGATGCTGGCTCTGAAAGAATTCAGGAGAAAGAGCGACCTAGAGAGCTCTCTGAAGTGAGCGACGATGATTTCGTCCCCCTCCACCAGACGTTGAGTAGAGGATCGAGAAGAGCCAGCTAACAACTGAGCTGGAGACAGTCGCTCTCATCCGGGAGAATGCACCGGAATATCCGTCCCACTTGGGAATCGTCAGCGTTCCCCTTCACCTATAGCGAGAGTTCCAAGCTTCTTGAAGTCAGAAGATTCTTGTCCGTCGGAGTGCGGATCCTCGCCATGAGTTCGAATCCGACCAGGAACTCCTCTCTTGGTACTCATTAAGAGTGCCTAGATAGATGATCGAGTGATCATTCCGCTTTCCATCCAATACGGCGGATGTCGAATGTGCTCCTTTCCTTACTCTTGAGCCCCTAAGAGGAGCGGACGGGCGAAAGAGAGTCAGGACCTGCGTGTTGTGCCAGCGACCATTCACGTAAGATCATCACGAGCCCCCCGGGTTGTGACGCTTCCCACGTATCTTATGCCATAGTAGAATAATAATCCTCGAAAGGGGGAATGATTCTTCTGCACACAGCGTCGTTTGAGTCTGTCTGTTCGACACGCGCGGGAGAGAATGTTTCAGGAAACCGGGCGGGGAAATCCTTCCGGAGATACCCGCTGTGACCCCTCGAGGGCTTTCGCAGCCGGTGTGTGTGCTTTTCCGGATCGCCACCGTAAATGAGCGAAGATCCCTCGGCTCATTCTATACTTGATACAGTTAATCGACAACGTTGGTAAGGCGGCATTTTGTCCCGCCCTGTTCCAACCCACGGTTTCTCTGCGACGACCAGAGACGCTTAACTCCTCGATTCCAACACTGGGGAGTCTCCAGGGTGGGGAAGACAATCCCGCTCTGACTGAGTGTATGCGATTGGGGAACGCAGCTCTTGCCTCTGATTCATATCAACCCTCCACTGATATGAGGCTGCAGACAGAACAGCTTACTCAGTCTATGTATGCATACGATGTACGTATTGTGAGGAGCTCCGACCCGAGTCGTCGAGAAAGTTCCCCTTAGGATTCATTCCATAGTCTCCGTCAGAAGGATATAATCCTCACCTTCGATTCGATCCTGTCGAACAGGTAGAGTTCCCCGAGAGCCCAACTTATTCCTATCTCATATACGAGAAGTTCCCTCGCGGTGACAAAGCCGTCCCGGCCAAACCTGGCAGCTCGACAGGCTCATTCAAAACTACAGCGATCCGTAGACCATCGTTCCCATCATGACAACTCCGTGCTCTATCTGATTATGACAGCAATTATATCATGAGATCATGCAATGCCGAATCATCTTTCCGGAAGTCGAGCGGGGCATCAGGATTTCCTGGATATGAGTGATATACAAGAGAAACCTAATTCACATTTTAATCTGAGAACATTGACTAGTGTACAGGCATATGTACATCCGACGGTTATTTACAGACACGAGGGTCAGAGGAATGTACATGAGATAAGGTAGCTCGACTAACGATTCAGAATTTCGGGATGATTGTTCGTGAAACTATGATAGAGGCTAAGAGTATACTACACGGGTTCAGGGAGATACTGGCAGATTCAGAGGTCTGAGCATCTGAGAATCTCAGTAGATTCTCGCTATAGTCGGCCTCTGTATCGTCGTCTACTTGCTTGTCGAGGTAGGGGCTCGATCTGCAACAATAAAAATTTATCTCTATTTTCGTTCGCCAGGATTCCCGATCTCCCGCCGAATCCGCTCGCCGTCGGAGCTCCACATGATTACTCAGAGGGGCATTCATGAGCATCTAAGCGTTGCGGATAAAGTGTCGGGTAAATTTCTTATCTTATATCCGAGCGGTCAAATTAGTTTCTCAAGATTTTCACCTCTGCATGATGAGTTTCTCCCAGACCTGACAGCGTTTCGTGTTTGGGTCTTTCCAAAGTGTCCAAATCGTCGGTTCCTGGAAGCGCAAGGGATGGCAACTCCGTGGTGCCACAAAGGTAGCTCCTAAAAGTGTCACAGGCAGAACTTCCATTAGCAGGACAGATATGCACAGTCGAACCTCGTCATGACGGACCCGGATATAGCGGACTCCCGTTTGAAACGGACTGATGTCACGACCCCGGGGCGCTATACCTCCCATGTTACTCTGCTCGGATATAACGGACAACCGGCTATTCGCGCGATCATAAGATACGCTCGTATAAGTCAGAGCGATACCATTCGATACTTATTTTCCCAGGATAGATATGTGGTACATTTTCGAGGGAGAGTCCTCTATCGAGAGGCATCTTCAACTAGCCTTCCCTGGGAACCAGGATACACCATGCTCCGGATCGACAACTTGTCGATAACAATGACCGTCAGACTTCTCGCAGCCCGCCAAGAGCTCGATGAAGTCTCAGATTCCGAGCCTCATTCCCGATTCGGCTCTAGGAATGGGCACAGGCTTCCAGAGTGGCGTCGTATTGTTCCATAGACCTCGTGGGAGATCGACTGTCATTCGATATCTCGATCATCCACCGTCGGTGATCGAAGGCATCAATTCCGGGGTGGGTGACTTTCGATGTGTTCCTCTGTACAATGAATCTCCGCGAAATCGCTCAACAGCAAATAAAGAATCAGCTTATCGGTGCTCTCCACGCAAAGCACTGAAGCTACGGATTCGGCAGATCTTTGTGTTGGTCCGAGGAGAATCCTTCGGACTACGACGGAAGTCGTCGGGAAACATCCGGGCACCGAGAATCTTCAGTCCTCTCTTCGACTCATCGGCTACTGGGCAACACGCAGAATAATCGCAGCTCCTTTTGCGGAAAAAGTCCAGATTCTTTTGATTGCAAGCTCCTTCTAGAATTGAATGCGACAATGGCGGGGTAGCCGGGAAGGACACCGTCCATATTTCCTCCGCCCCCATACCTCGATCTCTCTATGGAGCTCAGAGCGAGCACCTTTTGATCCCTCCGGCGTCGAGTATGGAATCTGGCTCGCGGAACTTATTTCTCTAACAATGTCAGGGACAGCCGCCAGGCGATTTTCGGTGTATCGACAATAATTTATCGCCGGAAGCTGGAATCCGCACGAAATCGAATTCAAACTCTGGCTGTGCGCGGGCCCAGCGGTGTAAGATTTCACTATTTTCGAGATGAGAAGCGGACGAGTCGACGACGATGTGTTTTGGTGCCCCGCAGTCGAATCGTCCAGCCTGGGTTGGTTCGATCGGAAATCCTGTGGTTTTTCAGTCTCCACGCTCGTTACATATTCCAATGGGAAATGAAGGTGAGTACTCCGCACTTCTCGTAGTTCTCGGACTTAGCTCTTATGGGGAGCTCTTCGCCGCAATGGAGCCCAAACGGAGGAAAAAATTGGAGAAGTTCCCGGCAGAGAGCGGCGTGATAATTCTATGTCTGGATTTTTCCAGATGATAAGAAGTTCACGGTGTGGCGTTTCACCGATAAACCTTTGAGACTATCTTGGGTTGATCATCTCGAGGAGCTCTACACGGGTTCGCCCGATGGTGTCCTGGATTTTTGTGGCCAGTTGGGGCCTCCCTCGAAGCTCAAGAGCGAAACCTCGTTGCACAGGGACTTCTGTGTGTTCCGGTATGATGCGGTCCCCATGTGGGAGGACGCTCATATTAGTAACATGAAGCT